ACAAATCTAAGACAAGTAATTCGGAACGGAGGGAGTAAAACTTTAAAGCATAGAGGAACAAATAGCAATTGAAGGCAAGTAATAAGAACCTCAGCCCACCAATGGGCACATGTTTATATTAGTTAGAAATTACTCAGATTCTTTTAGTGATCGGCCTGCAGCAAGGTAGGCACAGTTACAATATAAAAAGATAAGCATAGAAAATAGACTACTTAATACATCTGGTTATCCAAGCAAAGAAGAGCAGTGGCCAACTTGAACTATAAAAATGTCTCTCTAACTTCTTTTTTGTTTGAGAATTAGCTGCTTATATTAAATTATGCACTGTGATTACACTCCTTGTCTAGCAAGTTCATAATACACTCCAGTGAAACATGAAGCCAAGTAATTATTCCAGCTCTCCTTTGCTAATGCATGTGCTACCTCATTAGCTGTACGTCAGACCGCCAGCAGCGCATGGTCCTCAAAGTCCTGGAGGCATCCCTTGATTCCTTCAACCAGTGGCCCATATATATTGAATGATCTTGGCTCACATATCCCTTGAAAACATCTCAAGTTTGTCGACTTTTGATAACAAATAAAATATGCCATCTCGATAAACTATTTACCAGCCAACTGTAGAAGAGCATGGTAGCTTCACAAGCAACAAACTGGTTGTCATGGTGGTCCTCATCATCTATAACCGAAGTTGTAATACATGGTCAATAAAACATCCAATTTACAAACACAAGAGGATGACATCACGTCATGCTTACCTACAAGCTTTTTTACTTCCAATCTTGAATTTCATCTTCCTTCCCAGTATTGCATGAATCCACCAGACTACGACAAAGAGATCAGACAGTTTCCATGAGTATCTAAGGCTCAACATCAAAGTCTGGACAATGGGTCACCGTAGTCACCAGCTAAATTATCCATTAAAACAAGCATGCCACCAGTTTGTATTTACTGGATCATGAATACAACCATCACCCCAGATAACACACAGCCATAGATATATATATATTATTTTTTATCTTAAAACATAGAAATATATTTATCTTCTTATACAGTGGAGTACAAGAAAAGAGCAAAGAAAATGCCACATCATCCCAAATGCCTTTTGCCATCCCATAAAACAAGAAAAATTAAAATGCATCTTCAAAGTTTAGAATATAAACCTCATCACAAACAGTATAGTATTAATTGCCCATAGCAGCTGTTGTTCCTGTGCAGAAAGGAGAAAAATAGCTAACAATGGGAGCTAGCTCCCTCTGCCACCCATGTTGAGTGGGCGTAGAGAATACGACCCTTCCATCCCTGTAGCAGCCATTGGTGATCCTCGTCTATGTCAAAGTCCTTGTGGTAGTCACCCATGACCATGTCCGTAGCCATCTTAACAGTCTCTCTGTTCAGTGGCAGCTGCCTCAGGCCTGCTCGTTGGTTTCTGATCTACCAATGCTTATAGGTCTCACCGCGCTCCACTCGGTCCTCTCCCTCATATGCGACGGCATTCAGGACCATCCACCCAAAGACGTCACGCTCCAGCGCCAGCCGCAGTTTGCTCTCCCGTGGCATGGTTGCATCAAGCATGTCAAATAGCGCAGAGTGATAGAAGAGGGCCTCTCGGAACCGTGACAAGAAGAAGGTGCCATAGGAGCCATTCACGGTGCTTTGGACAAACACGTCTGGCTTCATCTTGCTGATGTTGCCGAGGACGGCATCCCTGGGGTTCGGGCTGGCTATGACGACACTCTCATCCATTAAGGTCCTGAAATTGAACTGGTCATTCACAGCAAGCGCCTCATCAGGTTCCTTGTCCAGGTCCTCAACGCAAATGGTCTGCCACTGTGCCATGATAGCACGGTACTTGAACGGCACACCAAGCTCTTGTGCAATGTCAGTCAGCCGATTACCTATCTGCTCCATATGTTTTTCCGGGTAGACCCCAGGCAGTGGGAGTTCAATGTGGGTGATCCTGACCTCCGGTGGGCCACCATCCCTTGAAGCCAACCAGCGCAGCAGCTCAGGCCACTGGAACCCACAATGGAGGCCATAATCCACGATATGCAACCTGCTTCTCCCGACTGCTGCATTGAAAATGGCCTTGTTGGCAAACAAGAAGGCTACCTTCCTGAAACAGCAAGTGGACATGAACAGCTGGTAGGCCTGCATATGCCTCACAGTAGAGGTGCACTCAGCCGTGAGCAACCCGTACACCTGGCTCCCTGTGCTGGTCAGCCGCGCCTCCAGCCCCTCAGCAAACCAGTAGGCAAGCCACTGTGTGGCGTCCCCAGTTGGTGATGCATGCTGCTTGATCTCCTTGAGTAACTCACCTGCACTACGGCGGTCATCCATCACCGCCTTAGCGCAGTGGATCAGCAGTGTGTGCAGGTCAACCACCCGCGTCTTGCTCTTTCTCCCCTTCTTGTTGCTGTTCCCAGTCTCATTGCCATGGGCAATGAGCATTTGGTCGAACACCTCGCCAGCACCAACTTCCACCAATCTGCTAGTCCTACTGACATCAGCCTCCACCTCACCATGCCTGTCCTTGCGACCCCTGCCACTTTTCTCCTTGGGTTGATCATGCCCACCGGTGGTCGTTAGCTCACAGTTTCTGGGCAAGAACTTGTTGGCCTCTTCCATGCCCCTGAGGAAGGCAATGCTAAACATGTGAGTGCTGTAGTCCGCATCGGGGAGCAACATCAAGCTGTGGACCTCATCAACACCCTTGAACTTGAAGATGGGCGAGCTGGGAGAGTGCACGTCGATGGCCAAGGCGCCGCCTTGGTCCGCCATTAAGGTGGAGGCATGCATGCTGGAAGAGAGGATTTGGGCAAAGGGTCGCTGGGCTTTGAGGAGTGCAGGGCTGTCTTCGTCAACGTCATCCTCCTCCTCCATGAGGATTTGTGTGATATAGGGGAGTGCCAGGTGATCCTGCACAGCAAAGCAGTTGCTGTCATCATCAGCCATCAAGGGAAGGTCTGGGAACACCGGGAAGACGGGAGTGGCAGCCTTGGTGATGGCAATGACAATGGTAATGGCAAAGCTCTTCCTGGAATGAATGGAAGGGAATCATGGTAGGTGTAGTGTTGCTCTGCTAAACTTGTCTCCTTGGAATCACCGAACTGTCTCCAACCAGAAAGAACAAGAAAGCAGTTGTTTTCCTAATCATCTAGGTGTGATGTGACCTCCTTGTTCCATTTCCTTGTACAAGAGAATTACATCGAAAACAAATTGATATTTTAAAAACACAAGAAGAAAATCACACATGTACATTTTCGAGTACTATTTGCATTTTTAACACAAGAAGAAAATCACACATGTACATGTTCGAGTACTATTTGCATTTGCAAATCTTGATGCAGTGCAAAAATAATAAAATGATGAAGGCTAACATAGTAGCTTTCTTGCACAGAATTAATTTTAAAAGTGAACTTAATACTCAAATATGTACCTGTGTTCAATTTTTTAGAAACTTTGTAAGTTTGCAAACAGACTTTGTAAGTTTGAGCTCAGATGCCAAAACATTGCACTAAGCATGACGTGTTTTACTCTGTTTCTGATGTTTGGCAACATGAAAGCGCAGCATACATGACACATACAACCCACAAGTCCCGAGTCCTTACTGCAATTCAAACTGTATCTCAGTTACACGAATACTGTACATAGTTACATCTACTAATTTGTTGCACATGAATCTTATAGGGAAAAAAGTAGTGCGTGAACATAATTATTTAAGTGGAAGCTTAGGAATTATGCTGATATGTCAAAATAGTAAAATAATATACTGGGAGAGGCCAAAATATACCTAATTTAAATCTTGAAAATGCTATAGTTTTTAATAAACTTACTCATGCTTAATCTATAGTCCTATATCCCTGCCACGATCTGCATACTTGACCAAATCAGTAACCTCTTTCAGGCCTGCAAGCAAACAAATAAACGCAGCGCATTATGCTATGAACTTTTTAAGGAGAAACCATAGAGATAATTAGCAATAAAATCAAACAATGTGGATGTAGGCTCACTCAGTATTCTTTGCTACTCTGGTTTTCTCTGGCCATGTAAAGTACATAATAGAATGCAAACCATGGGACCAGTATCTGAAACAAAAAATTGGCAGAGCAGTATGAAGATGAGCCTAGAAATGTAACACAACTGGAGTAACATCTAATCTGCATCTGTGCAAGTTTGCACCTTTCTCGCATACCATCATTTAACAATATATCACCGAGCTTGCCCGAAGTTAAACAAACAACAACAAAGCCTTTAGTCCCAAACAAGTTCGGGTAGGCTAGAGCTGAAACCCATAAGATCGGCTTGCCCGAAGTTATAATATTAAAAAAATACAGCAAAAACAGTTATAAGATCAAAGATTTTCTAGGATAATAGAAAAATTAAGGGTATAAGGTGCCCATCTTTCTCAGAAATCATCATCGGTGCAAACTTCATGTTATGTGTGGTCAAGCCAATCACAACTTTAATTGTTCATACAAGTAAAGATATATGTGCATATCAACTCTGACTAATCAGTACACCTTTGAGGCTTCAACACATATCTGGTTACTCTACACAGGCTCAAAAGGAAGTGCCAAACAATTTGACTGACATATTCATAAACCCCTACAGACTTTGTGGTGTGTTGTTACAAAATCTGCAGCAACACGATGGCCAAAGCATCCAACTTATAGATATACTCCCTCCGTCCGGAAAAGCTTGTCCCTCAAATGGATGTATCTAGCACTTGGTGCTAGATACATCCATTTGAGGGACAAGCTTTTTCGGACGGAGGGAGTATATGCCAAGACATTACTGCATCTCTGCAGATTCCTAAGTTTCAGATCTAAGCTTCATGATCCGTGATGAGCATAATCAAATGACTACTTGCATAGTAGAAGTAATTGACTACCTCATGGCACCATGGAATTATAAGATCATAAATGGTGAGATAAGTCCTAACTTACAAACATGAATATATCTATTGATGTCAATAATCCAAGTTTGATTGAGCAAAGAAGCTAGGTTGCATTGTCGGCAACCCATGTTGACAGGGCATAGAGCACACGCCCCTTCCACCTGTGCAGCAACCACCGCTGATCCTCATCAACGACGAAGTCCTTGTGGTAGTTGTCCTTAACCTTGTCCAGCACAAGCCTAACAACATCTGGATTCAATGGCAGCTGCCTCAGCCCAGCCCGGTGGTTCCGGAGCTGCCACTGCTTGTATGTCTCAGGGCGCTCCACGCGGTCTGAGCCCTCACATGCAATGACATTCAGGGCAGACCGCCCAAAGATGTCGCGCTCAAGCAGCAGACGCCCTTCGTTATCCCGGGGGACTGTCGCATCCAGCAGGTCGAATTGGGCCGAGTAATTGAACAATGCCTCCCTGAACCGTGTCAGGAAGTATGTAGCACCATACGAGCCATTCATAATGCCATGGATGAACACATCTGGCCGCATCTTCCTGATGTTGTTGAGGACCTGATCCCTGGGGCTCGGAGTATCAAGGCCGAGGTTTTCGTCCATCAAAAGCCTGAAATGGCAAAGACTAATCACCACAAGCACCTCATCACGGTCGATGCTCAGGTCCTCCGGCTGGACTGTCTCCCGCTTTGCTGCAATACCATGGAACTTAAACGGCACACCGAACACGCGGGCGAAGTTGCTGAGCCTGCGCCCCGTCTCCTCAATGTGGTAGGCTCCTTGGAACCCAGGTTGAGGGAGGTCAATGCCGGTGATCTTCACCTCTGGTGGTCCACCTTCTCTAGCTGCAAGCATACATAACAGGCCCGGCCACTGCAGTCCTTGACTCAGACCATAGTCCACAATGTGCAACCGGCTCTTCCCTACCACAGCATTGCAGATGGTCTTATTGGCAAAGATGAAGGCCACCTTCTTGCAGCAGCAAGCTGCCATGTAAAGCTGGTTGGCCTTGAGAAAGTCTGCAACCGAGGTACGCCTTGCCATGAGCGACTGGTACAGCTCGCTCCCCCTACCCGCCAGCCGTGCATCCAGCGCCTCGGCAAAATAATGCGCTAGCCTTTGCGCCGCATCACCCTTTGGGGTCGAATGCTGCCTGATTCTTTTCAGCAGCTCACTTGCGGTCCGCCGGTTGTCTGTGGACAGCGCCTGGGCGCAGTTGAGCAGCAGCGTGCGCAGGTCCACCATCTCACTATCACTCGAGTCCCGTCTTGGCCGACCCTTCTTCCGTCTGTTCTTCCCGGGTTCACTGTCCACAGCGACGCGAAGCTGCTGAACCCCCTTCATGCATATCTCGTGTTCCTGGAACATCATTTCGTCGAACAGCTCTCGTGCGCCATCCTCCTCCTGCTCCGGCATCATCAATTTGCTGGCCCTGCCCATGTCTGGCTCTAGAGTGTCCCTCTTTTTCTTGAGGCCGGCTCCAGCGTGCACTCCGGCCACCACTTGGTCCACCTTCATGGCCGGGAGGCTGCTGTTGGGCGGCAAGAACTTCCTCGCCTCCTCCATGCCTTTGAGGAAGGCCAAGTTGAGCATGTCCTGGTCGCCGGGCAACAAATAATTCCCAATGACGAAGTCAGAGCTAGGGTTTTGGGCTTCCTCGTCGCCGCTGAGGAGCGCCGAGCTCTGGGTGTCCGGTGAACCTGAGGCAAGGCCCAGTACTTCGGCGTAGGGCGGCCGTGAGATCTAGATCGCTGCGTCGTAGGGCGATGTAGCGCTGGGGGTTGTGGAGGCAGTGGCGTCGAAGGTGGAGGTGGAGAAGGACGGCGAGAGCGCGGAGGTGGAGCCGCTGGCGCTGTCGGCGACGTCGACGAGGATCTGCGCGAAGGGCAGCTGCGCCCTGAGGAGCGCGGGGTGGTTGGGGTACAGGTAGAAGAAGTGGTCCTCCATGTCCTCCTCCAGCAGGCGCGAGATGTAGGGCAGCGCCATGTCGTCAAACGAGGAGTCCCCGTCCTCCACGCCGCGGGGCGTCGGCGGCAGGCCGAGGAACAGGGACGGCGAGGGCGGCTCCAGCCGCGAAAGGAAACTCTGCTGCCCCAGGAATTCCTCCGGCGTGGCGGCCATTGCTCTGCTCTGCTAGGCTGTGTTGTGCAGTTGTACACTTGTGCTATGTATGGCTAAAGAAGTGGAATTTACTCCGCTGTGAAGCTCTGCAGATGGTGCTTTCTTTAAAGGATGAAACCATGGAAGATTCCGGGAAGGGGCGTGATGATGATGACGGGAACGGAGGAAGAGACCGAAGGGCGAGAGTCAAATACTCAACTGCAACTCCGGCTCGCCGCCGGTCCCATCCCCAGGGTGGAGCAGAAAGAAATGAAAGAAAAAGGAAGGTGATGATGAGGCTTCGCCTAACATGGCTAATCGAACAACAATAGTAGTATATCAACTCAGAAGATTTCTGCTGAGGAGTGCTTATTAGTTAATTGAACTGGGCGGCCAAGAACCAAATGAGCTGAGCTGAGCTGAGAAGGTACACCAACCCTAGGCAAGCTAGGCAGTCACTCCGTTTCCTTTTAGTCCGTATATATAATTGTCTAAAGTCAAATTTTATAAAATTTAATCAATTTTATGAAAAAAATGACAATAAAATATATATCATTAGATGCATCGTAACTTTAATATTGTAGGTCTTGATATTGTTAAATAGAAATTTGATAAAACTTTACATAGTTTGACTTCAAACAAATTTTATATGCAAAATGAAAAAAAGGAGTACTTGACTTATGGCCATTGACTGCCCGAATCACATATTTGCATCAAGATCCAAAAGCACGTTAAAACGAAAGATATCGGATTTTAAGCTCACAAAGAAGAGGATCGTCATTTTTCCTCCACTGCAGCGGCGTAGCTGCAGGGTGGACAGAGTGGTCAATGGACCACCCAGTAAATCAGACTAGGATTTTATATCCACGATAGCTTGTTTGCTACCTGACTCGAACATGGCCTGAGATGTGGACGACCGAAAGAGCATGTCTGGTAGCCTATTTATTCTCAATGGCAGCCCAGTGACTTGGCAATCCCAGAAACAGAAGATTGCGCCTTTGTCCTTCTGTAAGGCTGAGTAGGGCAGACTTCTCCACAACATGCTCGAGGAGGACACCAACGCCACCACCATCCTCTTCGACGCCAAATCCACAATTCAATTGTGCAAAAATCTAATGTTTCAAGATCGGAGCAATCACATTGAAGCGTGGTTCCACTTCATCCACGAATGCATCAAAGGTGGGAAGATCAACGTTGGCTACATCTACACCGGCGATCACAAACATCATCACCAAATCCCACGGGCGCACAAAGTTTTAGGAGCTGCATGTACACATCCGGATGGTTTTTTATATGGAACATACTTTCCATTTAACTCGTGTGTCAAACAAGACATGTAGAATTTTTGGTCGGCAAATTCGAAGGAATCATTGAGCGCCGGCAACCAAGTCTTTAAATAAGGTAGGAACTTCCCCCGGCCATACAGCTTTGGGGTTCAACGACCACCTTCGCATCGAAAGCCACAAGGGCATCGCGCATCGGTATGTGATACGTCTCCAACGTATCTATAATTTATGAAGTATTTATGTCATGTTTACAACAATTTTATATGGTTTTGGTATGATTTTATTAGAACTAACCCGGACTGATGTTGTTTTCAACAAAACTACCGTGGTGTCGTTTTTTGTGCAAAAATAAAAGTTCTCGGAATGGGTCGAAATTTACAGTGATCGTTTATGGACCAGAAGAGACCCACGGAGCACCGGAGCTGTGCCGGGAGGTAACCGAGAAGGCCACAAGCCTGGGGCGCGCCCCTACGGCTTGTGAGCCCCTCGGGCACCCCCCTGACTTGTTTCCAATGCCAAGTACCCCTATATATCTCGTAACCTCTAAAAAGAACCCTAGATCAGATGTTTCGGAAGGAAATATGCCCTAGAGGCAATAATAAAGTTGTTATTTATATTTCCTTATATCATGATAAATGTTTATTATTCATGCTAAAATTGTATTAACCGAAAACTTAGTACATGTGTGAATACATAGACAAATAGAGTGTTCCTAGTATGCCTCTACTTGACTAGCTCGTTAATCAAAGATGGTTAAGTTTCCTAGCCATGGACATGTATTGTCATTTGATGAGCGGGATCACATCATTAGAGAATGATGTGATGGACTAGACCCATCTGTTAGCTTAGCACTATGATCGTTTAGTTTATTGCTATTGCTTTCTCCATGACTTATACATGTTCCTATGACTATGAGATTATGCAACTCCCGAATACCGGAGGAACACTTAGTGTGCTATCAAACATCACAACGTAACTGGGTGATTATAAAGATGCTCTACAGGTGTCTCCGATGGTGTTTGTTGAGTTGGCATAGATCGAGATTAGGACTTGTCACTCCGATTGTCGGAGAGGTATCTCTGGGCCCTCTCGGTAATGCACATCACTATAAGCCTTGCAAGCAATGTGACTAATGAGTTAGTTGCGGGACTGTGACGCCCTCGATTAAATCGTACACTACTCATACACGCAAATGTGTACGATCAAGATCAAGGACTCACGGGAAGATATCACAACACAACTCTAGACACAAATGAAAATAATACAAGCTTTATATTACAAGCCAGGGGCCTCGAGGGCTCGAATACATAAGCTCGAATACACAAGAGTCAGCGGAAGCAACAATATCTGAGTACAGATAGGAGTTAAACAAGTTTTCCTTAAGAAGGCTAGCACAAAAGCGGCGACGATCGAAAAGGCAAGGCCTCCTGCCTGGGAGCCTCCTAACTACTCCTAGTCGTCTGCGGTCTTCACGTAGTAGTAGGCATCCTCCGGGTAGTAGTAGTCATTAGTGGCGTCGTCTGGCTCCTGGGATCCGTCATCTGGTCGCAACAATCGGGTATGGGGAAAAAGAAGTAGCAAAGCAACCGTGAGTACTCATCCAAAGTACTCGCAAGACTTACATCAGACCTAAACTAAGTATGCATCTGTATCAAAGGAATGGGTTGTATCTGTGGACTAAACTGTAGAATGCCAGAAGGGAAGGGGAAAGCCTAGCCTATCGAAGACTAGCATCTTCAAGCATCTTGCAGCATATATAAGAGTACAGATCAACATAATGTAAGTAGTAGTGTTATCAACCTCGGCCAGAGATCCTTTCTCGACTCCCTGCGAGAAAGCAATCCCAGAGCCATACTATCCAGTTATCATCACATATCCAAGTCTCATCTCAAGTATCCAGTTCTAGTTGTATCGATCGGGATACAACTCCAAGTGTCCGTTACCGTAGGACAGGCTATCGATAGATGTTTTCTTCCCTGCAGGGATGCACCAACTTACCCACCACGCTCAATTAACTCCGACCGGACACACTTTCCTGGGTCATGCCCGGCCTCGGCCAAACAATACGCCGCAACCCGACCTAGGCTTAATAGAGAGGCCAGCACGCCGGACTAAACCTATGCCCCCAGGGGTCATGGGCCATCTCCCCGGGAACTCCTACACGTTGCGTACACGGCCAGTGAGCAGACCTAGCTACCTCCTTCAACAAGGTAGGAGCTTACGCAGTCCAACCCGGCGCGCGTCGCTCAGTCGCTGACGTCTATTAAGCTTCGGCTGATGTATACGACACAGAACGCCCATACTATGCCCACGTGATGGTTAGTGCTATCAGGCCAGAGGCCCCTCGGATCAAATATCCAAACCGTAGTGGATTAGGAGCACGCGATAACAAGCAGAGACTCATGATTGATGTGACCCCGTTGCCCCATCTCGAGTACTTGCGGCAAGGGCTAAGAATGCCCGGCCACACCTCGTAAGTGTCTCGCGGGCACCTTCCAGGTCAACCCGACTCCACATCACTCGCAATTAAGCTTGCACGGGTACCACTCAGGGTCGACCCGTCTTTAGTAACATGGTTCAGTGCAAAGTCATAGTAACACCAAGGGGAAAACCCGAGGAATCACCCCCGGGTGAATTCCACTCGATGTTATCATCAAGGTGAACGTAAGAGGATCCACCCTCGAGGTTCACACTTGAGGGGTTGCACGACAAAGCCGTAATGGAAGTGGTTAAGGAGGAAATCACCCTCGATGATCACGACCGAATAGCTACACTACAGAGATCTCATTAGGAGTGATGTATGAGGTTCACCCTCGGCACTCGATAGTAACTCTGTAGTGTCGTACAACTAGGGGGTGATGTGCGGTGTCGGGGCCTGGACGTCGATCATGTTGATCGAGTCATCGAACATAAAGCGAGGCAACTAGGACAAGGTGGGGGTCACTGATGGATCACTAACCAACCTATACTAAGAAGTTTAGGATAAGCAGGTAAGGTATGAAAGTAGGTACCAACAACAGGCTATGCATCAGAGTAGGATCATACAGAAAGCAGTAGCAGTTCTAATGCAAGCATAAGAGGGAAAGAAATGGGCGATATTGGAATGCTCAAGGAGGGTTTGCTTGCCTGGTTGCTCAGACAAGAAGGAGGGGTCGTCGGTGACGTAGTCGATCACAGTGGCATCATCGGTCTCGGGGTCTACCGGAG